GTCCCACCATAGTAACTAAAGATCGATGGTTATATTCCTGTCAATCAAAGTTTATTTCCAAGGTGTGTTCATCAACAAACCTTTTTGCTATTATGATGGTGTTCATCATGTGTTCGAGAATGTCGATTTTGCTAGTATGTCATATAATGAGTTTGTGGGTTTTCTTGAATGATTCATACAAGAGAAGTATGAGAAAGTTTATTATTGTCAACCCGGTTTACAAATCCCAGAAGGTTTAACCTTGATTTCAAATGAACGTCAATATCAAGAATTTATTGACATTGCTTATGAATGTGGAGTACAAGTTTTTGTTTACATGGACCATTTTTGTACTACTATGCATGTAACGAAGACAAATGAAAATGAAAATGAGGATAATTTTTCTGTCAAGTCAAACATGTCAATCGAAGGGGAGGAAGGTATTGACCTAAATGAAATTAAAAGTCCACAAGAAATCAACATGGAAGGAGTAACCTATGAAGGAGTAAGTCAGCGTAATGGAAATGAGGAGGCCACAGAAGGTGATCCAAAAGATGATAAAGATGATAATGTCCCAGATGTGAAAGGAAAACTGATGTTTAATGAAGACATACCTTGGAAGAAGTAGTTTCCAATTCTAGGTATGAGGTTCACCAACCCTAAACAATTAAAATTTTTGATTTGTAATTATGCTGTAGCAAATGGATATCAATTATACTTTGAAAAAAAAAACGACAATAAAAGGTTATTGGTTAATTGTACTAATGGTGAATGCACATTTAGGCTTTGGGCATCATGGATGAGTGAGGAACACTCTTTCTAAATCAAGTCCCTTATCATTGACCACAATTGTGCAAGAAGATTTTAATTAGGGTCAATTGTTAATTATAGATGGATTGGTAGTCATTTCAACCGGGAAGTGCTTGAGAATCATAAATTCAATTTCAGGATGTTAAAAGAGGAAGTAAATACTAAATTTGGCATAGAGGTTAGTATAAGACAATGTAGGAGAGCTAAGCAACATGTAATGTCTCTTATTGAAGGTACCATAATGGAAAATTATGCAAAGTTGTGGTCCTATGGTGAAGAGATATAAAGGTTTAATCCAGTGTCAACAGTCAAGTTGTCTGTGAACTCTATGCCAGATGGGAAAACATACTTTATCAGGATATATATATATATATATATATATATATATATATATATATATATGTGTGTGTGTGTGTGTGTGTGTTTTCATGCACTAAAGGAGAGTTGGAGAAGTGGCTGTAGAGAGATAAAAAAAACTTAGATGGGTGTTTTCTAAAAGGAATGTGTACCGATCAGTTATTATGTGCTATTGGTAGGGATGGTAACAATCATATATACCCAATAGCTTGGTTTGTAGTTTGTGTTGAAAATAAAGACAATTGGAAATGGTTCTTAGAAAACTTGCAAGAAGATCTGCATCTTGAAGGTGGGTTTGGTAGGATAATTGATGTCAGATCAACATACGGTATGTTTCTACTTTATAATGTCATACATAATTTCTTTCAAATGTGATATAATTCTGAATATTATGATGATATAAATGCAGGGGATAATTGAAGCAGTGAAAGATTTATTTCCAGAGATAGAACATAGGCAATGTGCCAGGCATGTTCTTTCCAATTTCAAGAAGAAATTCCATGGGGCTCAGTATGAGAAACTATTTTGGAAGGCTTGTAAGGCCTCAACTGAACCTCTTTTCAATTCTACAACGAAAGAGATTCAAATGATTAGCTCTGCTGCTTATGTGCATCTGATGGGAAGGAATCCAAACTCATGGTCAATAGCATTTTTTTCAAATAGATGCAGTTGAGAATGGGTTGTCTGAAAGCTTTAACAATGTTATATTAGAGGCTAGGAAGAAGCCAATTATTACAATGTTAGAGTATATTAGACTATATGTGATGCGGAGGATATGTAGTTTGAAGTAGAAAGGAAGTGGATAGGTACATTTTGATGTATGTCCAAACATAAGGCTTGCCCTAAATGAATTAAAGATCCAACAAAGGTACTATATTATTCACCATAATTGAATTGAATATCCAGTCAATGTACTTTAATTACCCTTGTTAACTTTGATTATTTGTAGGTACTCGCAAGTGCTTCCTATTAGCCTGAATACATTCGAAACAAGAAACTTAGGAGAGTCTTATGGAGTTGATCTGGAAAAGAAAAGATGTTCTTGTAGGATTTGGCAAATGAATGGGTATCGTTGTGTACACCTAGTGGCATCCATTAGTTATGTAAATAGAGATGTAGAGGCCAAGGAGACCCACTATTGAGAGAAAGAGGGACTATACTGAGGTTACTGGATCACACAGAGTATCTAAGGTAGGCAAAAAGATGTTATGTGGTGTTTGTAAGAAATCAGACCACAATAAGTCAACCTGTGATGTAGTGTCAAAGCCCTAAAAAAGTCAGGGGAAAAAGAGGAAGGTTCAAGGTGAAGGTGAATCTAGTGCATTAAATAAAAGGAATGGTCAAGGGAAAAATGGGAAGGGAAAGGGTGTAGGTGATACTGGAAGTGGAATTGGTTTCAAAATGGGAGAAGGTGAATGTGAGTCAACAAGTTGTGTGACTAAGAAGAATGGTAAAAAAGTAGATACATTGAAATTAAGAAAAAAAGTCAGAGAGGATACTAAAGAAAAAGTTAGCAAAAAAGTTGCAGGCAAAAACGGTGAAGGTGATACATCAAGCAAACCAATGGACTTAGATTAAAGATGTTTTTGGAGTATGTTAGTTATGGTGCAAGGTCTTAAATTAAAAGTGTTTTGTTGTTATGGTCTTGTTTAGTATGTTAACATGTCTTTTAAACACCAAGTTATGATATTAATGAATGTATGGATGTTTGTTTTCTGTTTGTAACATAAATGTTAGTTTCTTTAGTTTAAAACGTAACATAAATGTTAGTTTCTTTAGTTTAAAACATAACATGAATCTTTTTTTATAATTGTCCTTACAATGCAATTCCATATAACAATGGACTTGAATTATAACAATGTACTTCCACATAAGGTTATAATGGGAACTTCACATTTGATACATTTCATTACAAACCTACTTCAAGGGGAAATTGAAGTCCTGCAACATACGACCTTCACATTTGGTACATTTCATTACAAATCATAACATCATATGCAAAGAAAAACAAAGGTTATAATAGGAACTACATTTCATTTCATTCGTCCATTACAACTGAGGTTATTGTCTTAACAAACACCCCCCCCCCCAAAAAAAAAAAAAATAAAAATAAAAAAAAAAAAATTGGTTCTAAACACCATTACATCCTCAATGGGCACCATTGTTCAAAACAACCAAAAACACATAACCTAATACATACATATATACTAGCAGATGACGAAATTAGACAAAAAGACACAACCTTCGACAACCCTGATAACCCAAAAGAGACTAATCGCCATCGTGCTACCTACAAACTAAACGACACCCACCAAAATCCCCATCCACTGCATTCGACGCAAACACGAATCCCAATCAACGACATCACTGCAACTCCAACAACACCCATCATGGTCACTTTCCTTTTCAAGTTGCATATCTCCTCCCTAAAAGGAAAAACAAAAAAAAATGTTCAGGTTTTCGGAACCACACGCGCCTAGAAGTAGCCCAACCCATTTTCCCCCACTGTCACGTCATGGCTCGACTCCTCATTTGTCGGCGTTTATTTTTCTTCCACCGATTTTGTTTTTTGGCCATAATTTTTTTATGAAAAATAAATTTGAAAAAAAAGTTCCTAAAACTTAACTTTCTACAAAATTAGCATAATCATGAAAATTTGAAAAAAAAATATATTTTTTATATTTATAAAAAAAACCTTGAAAAAAAAACATTCTCAAAAAATTAAAAAAAAAAATTAAGGAATACTTCGACTCACTATTCTAATAACTTTGTAAAAATAATTTTTCAAATATATGGTGTTTTATATACCAAACTTGATTTTAAAATATTAAAAGTTTTTTTTTTAATGTTGAACATAATATAATCCAAATAAAGATGATTCAAAATATTTATAATTCAATATGTCTATGATTCTTAACTTGTTATAATCTAAAAATATTTAGATTCAACTATTTATTAATCCTTAATTATTATACTTTTATGATTCAAAATTAAATGATTAAAAAATTATCATGATCTAAAGCTTGTATTGGACAAAAAACTTTATTTAATTCAATATATTATGATCAAAATTAAAATGATTCAAATTAATATCATCCAAAAATATATGATGCATGATACAAATACTATGATTTAAAATTTAATAATCCAAAAATAATATGATTCAAAAGTGTAAATGCAAAAAAGTATGATTCTTAATATTCTTCTTATTTAAAACTCTATAATTATTAAACATTAAAATTCAAACCGATATTTAGTTTAAAAAATAATAAAATAATCAAATAATCAAATAATCAAAATGTTAAATAATAATAATAATAATAATAACAATAATAATAATAATAATAATAATAATAATAATAGTAAATATTTTTAAAAATAACAAAAAATTAAAAACAAAAAAAACAAAAAAAATCTTTAAACCCTGCATATATTTATTTTAAAAAATTGACTTTTTTTAACGAAAAATAATAATAATAAACCAAAATAAAACAAAATACATGAAAAAGAAAAGAAAATCATATGTAAATGACCTTCAATGAACGTTTGTCATACATTATTATTCCCTCGAGTCTATATTATGTTTCATGAACGTCCACCGTGTGCAAACTCGTAACAATCAAGTAATAGGTTTGATGTTTGTAATAATTACCAAATGATTTGTAGAGAATAATTATCGTGGTTTCTTTTAGATTTTGGGTTCCTAATGAATCTGGCTCATATATATTAAATAAAGTAAAAACGTATAATAGTATCTTTATAAATGAATTTTATTTATATATTTATTATTGTAGCAAATTTTAATACCAAATTTAATGTAAGATTATTAATTTATTTGTTGTTTAATAATAACATAAATTTATGTAATTTTGAATAATTTTGTTAATTCGTCGTCGATGGTGTAAATTTGAGTTGTATTTCTGTTGTTGCGAACTTTTTAGTGATGTGTTAACCCAAGTCCAAATATATTTTGTATATCTATGTATCAAGTTATTATTTGTATGCATGTTACCTACTAACTAGTTATCTTTTCTAAAAGATCCACTTAACATTTGTTTGCTTTCTAAACTCTTTTGTATGTATTTAATCATGTTCGAATACGCGTTTCGAGATATCCATATGCAAATATTAGTAATGACAATATATGAGGGACCATATTCCTAAACCACAACAAACCAAAATTGATTGGTAGCTTGACATACCCAAAGCTTTGCATGTTAGCCCATTCCCTTGTCTCGAAGACATAGACTTATTAACACCATTTGTTTCCTCTCTATTACACTACAGGTCCCGATATTTGTCGATGATTTCAACAGTTTGTACAAAAGATCCCCTTCACGAAGGTCCACTAACGACCTTCCATGCATGTTAGCTACTGCGGGATCTGTTTTTTCTACAAGAGTTATTCGTCATTCAAGATACCATTATAAATACAGTTTCTGACTTCTTGTATAGAGAGAG